CTTCAGCGATTATGCCCTGGTCCTTGAAATTCACAAATGGGATTCAAAATGTAACACGACAATTAGAATCCTTAGATAGTTTACTGACAGACAAAAAGGTTACAGGCTAAGTTGGGGGACGTGAAGAACAGCATTGAGATTAATTTTCTCAGTTAGTTTAATAAATCCTTTTTTCCTGCAATAGGTGAAAAACTACCATCGGCTATTCTGATTTTGTCATGACCAGAACAAGGGAAATAGGTACTAAATAAATGGGAAAAACTAGTCATGTGATCGGAGGCACCGGAATCTATGATCCACGGAGAGAAGTTTAGGCAAGAGAAGGCTTTAGGATTTCTACCTGTTTGTGCCACAAAACACTGAGAGTACCGGATGAGGAGTTGGATTTTATCAGCTTTAAGAGTTGATCAATCTGCTCTTTGTTGAAGGGACCTGAATCGGCTTCATTAGCGGTAGGAAAGCCACGATTCTTCTTCTCCTTGTTGCTGCTTTTCCAGTTGACAGGTTTGCCATGGATCTTCCAACACGTTTCGCGTGTATGGCGAGGTTTGTTGCAAAAATCACACCAGACCCGTGGCTTATCATCAAACCTCGGTGGTAATTTGCAGCCTTGTTGGCGCAAGCATCGCTAATTAAAGCAGAAATTTCAATTGATTCACCAGTACCTTTTTTCTTAGCATGACGCTCCTTCGGCTCTCTTCCCTTCTGACTTCGGCAAATACTTCGCCAATGGATGGGAGAGGAGGTCTGCCAATAATTCTTCCTCGCACTTCATCGAACTCAATGTTGAGGGCGGCAAGAAACTTGGTAATACGGCTGTCTTCCACAGTTTTCTTGTGATGGTTGCAGTCGTCAACCGATTTCCATTCGTATGTGTTGAAGATGTCAAGATCCTGCCACACCTTTTCAACGAATTGAAATATTTGGTGACGGAATCATTCTCTTGACGAATCTCTCCCAACTTCAAAAGTTAATTCGAAAACTTGAGATTGATTTCCTAGTCAGAATACATCTGACTAACATTATCCCACAATTCTTGTGCAGTAGGATAGCACATGTAATTAGAGCTTATATCCTCCTCCATGGAATTGACCAACCATGTCATAACCATGGAGTTTCAGCGTCCAACTGTCGAACAGCGGATCATTAAAGCAGGAGCCTTCTTGTCACCAGTGATGTAACCGATTTTTCCTTGCCCACGGATATACATCTGGACAGATTGTGACCAACGGAGAAAATTATCACCATTTAGGCGGATGGTGGTGATTTGGACAGAGTGAGAGTTGGACTGTTTCACCGGAATGGCAGCGGCAGGGGTTGTAAGTGGTTTCGGACGTGACTTCCGACATGGCTATGACGGTTTTAGGGCTGCTGTGTTTTTTGTAGCTCTGATACCAACTTAGAAAATATGAGGAAGAAGAACTCCAAAAATATGAGGAAGAAAGGAATATATTCTGTTATATTCAAAACTTCTTATTTACAAGACCAATGACACTCCTTATATAGGAGATATTACAAACATCATTATAACCATTATAGCCACTTACATATTATATATTACACTATCTACCACTATCATATTATATACATGCCACTATCTACCACCAACACCACTATCATATTCTATACATGCCACTATCTACCACCAACAACACTATCATATCTATACATACCACTATCTACCACCAACACCACCTATCAATAGCCACTATCTTATTTTATGCGATAACAACAATTTCCAGCAGGAGCCCAAGTTCTTCCTGTTGAACATGCTCTCCTTCCTTTTACTCTTGGAGTGAGGCAGATGATTTGCTGCTGTAACAAGATGGATGCTACCACTCCTAGTACTCAAAAGCAAGGTATGATGAAATTGTGCAGGAAGTCTCTTCCTATCTGAAGAAGGTTGGTTACAACCCTGACAAAATTCCTTTTGTCCCCATCTCTGGTTTTGAGGGTGACAACATGATTGAGAGGTCCACCAACCTCGATATGATTACACAGCCCAAGAGGCCATCAGACAAGCCTCCTCTTCTCCACATTCTTGAATAACACCACAGCAACAGTTTGACGCATTTATTAGAGAAAAGGTCCAAAGGCAGCTCCTGTCAAAGCTGATGCTCAGCAGGCTACCACCTATTGAAGTGCCAGCACTATCCTTGCACATGGGGGGCACCCACTCATTTCTTTATTGTTTTCTTTTACTCACCATGTGACCCACGATGGCAACCTAATACTTTTTCTTTTCTTTACACTCTTGTTCCCCACTTTCTTTATTTATATATATATATATATATCTCTTTTTATTATATTATATTTAAAAAAAAAAAAAAAAATCTTCATCTCTCCTCCGTTTGATTTCCAAACTCCATTATTTTATTTTATTTATTTTCTCAAAACCACTTCCTTATTCTCCCATCTTTCATTTTGATTTCAAATATATTTTTATTATTTTTCTTTATTTTTTCTTTCACATTCTTTTTAATCTTTTTCCAATTCCCTTCATACCATATAGCTTTGCACACCAAATCATATTTATTCATCTCAGGGATCACCCCGATCACCAATTTTACACAAAAAAAAAAAAAAAAAAAAACCAACAAACAAACAAACCACCACAACACCACCCGCACCACAGTTGGGATTTTTCTTTTCTACTCTGCTGCAGGTCTCTTCTTCTTGCTTTTCTCTTGGTGTCCCTTACCGGCGCTGCCTCCATACTACCCACTCCACCGAGCACGTTCACTCCACCCTGCTCCTCCACTACAGCATATGGTGGACCTCCAAATCGGACATCACGGTAGCCTTCCGCTTCAGCTCCTTGTTTTCCCCTTAGCACACTTATCTCTGCTCGCGCATCCTATATACATGCGCTGGAGCAGACCAATTGGCCGTTTAATGCTGCACCTCATTGTTCTACTCTGCAGCCGGTGCGACAAGTTTGTGACTGCCGTCATCGTCTCCACACAGGACTTCAAAGTATACTGATTGGCTTCAATGCAGTTTGCACTGCCATTTTTTGCTCCACAGACCGCATCGGAAAGTTCAACGGAGCAAACCCTGGGGCGCTTGGCTTGAGGTTCACTGGCCCCCGCACAGTTATCTTCTTGTTGACTCGTAAGGTCTTTTGAAAGAGAGTGAGCAGACACGGGAAGACGAAGCCATTTTTCTGGACAACAGAGTGTTACAGAGTGTCTCTCTCAGAAATCTCTCTTAGAAACAGAGTGTACAGAGTATCTCTCTCAGAAATCTCTCTCAGACAAACAGAGTGTTTACAGAGTATCTCTCTCAGAAATCTCTCTCAGAAACGAGTGTTACAGAGTATCTCTCTCAGAAATCTCCTTCAGAAAACGAAGAGTTTTTCAGTTTTTTCTAGCAGGTTTTTGTCTCTGCTTCCAGAGCCTCAGCCTCCGCTTGGTTTATAAAGACCATGACAAAGAGGCCGACACGCGTTCTGTCGATCACGTGCATCGCCGCGTGTCTGGCGCACCTTTTGATGGCCACGCCTTTTTATGGATGGCACGCCTTTTGATGGCACGCCTTTTGAAAGATTGGGCACGCCTTTTGAGGGTACGACTTTATATGGGTCCGACAAGACTCTGTAAACTGTCCCGACATTTGATTCCGGTTAGCTCCTTTATGGGTCCGACAAGACTCTGTAAACTGTCCCGACATTGATTCCGGTTAGTTTCTACAAGGGTCCGACAAGACTCTGTAAACTGTCCCGACATTGATTCCGGTTAGTTTCTACAAGGGTCCAGCAAGACTCTGTAAACTGTACAACAACTGTCACAACATTGTCTGCTACAACGGTCCGACATGACCCTATAAACTGTCTTCTACATTCGGTCTGACACCGCCATCCAGTGTCCTCTACACCGTTATGACACCACCATACAGTGTTCCTCTACAACGTTATGACACCCCCATACAGTGTCCTCACAAACGTTATGACACCTCCATCCAGTGCTTCACCAATGGTCTGACACGACCATACAGTGTCACCTATCCTCTTTTTATTTTTATGTATTTTCTTGTTTTGTAACTCTCTCCAAACTCAAGTTGGCTATTCCTATCCCCCTTGAGTTTTCGGTTTTTGTGGGGCTGTTAAAACCTATCACCTACTTCACCCACTTAAACCTACTCCACTAAACCTAACCCACTACACCACTACCACCTCACATACTCCATTAAACCTAACCCACTACACCACTACCACCTCCACTTCACCTACTCCTTACCTACTACACACTCACCCTCTTCTATATATAGGAATCATGAATCATTGTAATAAATATAACATTAATATCAATCAATAATACAATTCTCTATTGCTCTTTATACATTAAATTTTCTACACTTCTTATTTGGTCTTAAATTGGTTTCAAAAGTCAAAATTTTAATAGTTTCTTATTTTGGAATTCTAGTTGGTTTAGGAAGTCTGTTAGTTCTAGTCATGTAATACTTCTTATTTAATGGAATTGGTATTTTAGAGAATTTCAAAACTTTGAAGTTTTATTACAAATTGTGAGATGCAATCAAACCCTATGTGTGAAGGGGTTCTAGAAGTGATGCTTAGAACTCTCTTCTTTTTCTCTTTTTTTTCTTTCTTAAATTTCAGCGCTTTTACAGCACCAGAACAGCTCCTTTCAACGCTGTACTACACCAATCTTACGTGAAAAAGGTAGTAGAAAGATGTAGCATGTAATTTATGTATTGAACTGTAAGTTGTGGCCTAGATAGAGTGGAAATTACAATAGGATTCATGTAGCCAACTGCAACCCCAAATAGTTGAATTTAGGCATTGTTGACTTGGGTTTGCAATTGGAATTGATGAACTACTATAAATAAAGGCAAAGGGCCTTTTGATTCTCAGTCAGCAAGATGATTTAATGTGGAAATAAAAGTAAATCAAATTATGGTGGATAATTTTGAAGGGCCGTAATGGGTTGTCATGTTTGTGGTTAATTATAAGGAAAACCTGGAGTAGGACCAATGATTTAGACCATTAATAGGCATGGATAACCTGGATTTTGACACAATTGTTATTGCAGCACAGTTTTGTTGAAGTTGTTATAGTCAATTCTTGTTGCCGTTTCTGCTTGTTTATTAATTGATTTGGGTTTTCTCAGCTCTTTCCACCTAGTTGATTTAGTTGATGTGATGCCTTCCTTTTGTTAATGCCTTTGTGTGTGGCACTCCATGTGTGTGTGTGTGTGAGAGAGAGAGAGAGAGAGAGAGAGAGAGAGAGCATTCAATTTGGAAACCGGAACTGTCCCAATTGATTTTCCCCTTGGCCAGGCACGAACTGCAGCGAAGTGCTTCTCAAGTCTAGAGGGAGATCATCCGACTTTGATTGCTGTATATCGAGCTTTTGATGAGTTCTCGGAAAAGAGCAATCTGGGGAACAGTAGAGAAAAAACTGAAAAAAATCTCAGAAAATGGTGCAAGGAAAATTTCATCAATAGCCGTGCCCTAAGGCATGCTCGTGACATTCACAGGCAAGCTACATTCTCCCCCTTGTGTTTAAAACAAAAATGCTTTGAAAACTGATCACTAAATAAAGTTTTTATAATTTATTGTTTACTTTCCTTTTTGAAATGTTTTTCACCTTTTATTTGACTCATGATATTCTCTGATCTCTATGATAGTGCTTCAAGAATTCTCAAGAGTTAATTCATTGTGCTTTCTTGCAGGCAAATTCAGGGAAATATTGAACAAATGGGTCTAGGTATTGCATCTTGTGGAGATGACATGCTTCAATTTCGCCGTTGCCTTGCTGCTGCTTTTTTCCTCAATGCAGCTTTGAAGCAGCCTGATGGTACATACAGGTACTGAAAACACTGTAATGAGTTTTAGTTTTTATCTGGCTGGTTTTCTTAGTTCCACACTATACTACCTTCTAACAAGGATAGCCTTTACTCTTTCATGTAATTCGTAAATATTTAATCATTTTTTTCCAGTTCTTTTAGGAACACTAAACCAATCATGGACAGAATCCTCACATGATACGGTTCTCACCTTTTTGTGGGTCCCACACAAACCTATGTGAGGGGTTGTGTGGTTTTGTGACAAGTTTCTGTGTTCATAGATTTATTCTTTCTATTCATCTTCACTAGCAAATTTCTTATATTGTATCTCATCTTTGTTATTAATCTGGAAACCCTCTTCCATATCTCCTTTTGTATGACCTCTCACAGTTACTTCACAAATGGCAGGGTTTTGTCAAGTGGTCAGGTGGTGCAGATCCATCCTTCTTCTGTATTTTTCCGGACAAAGCCAGACTGCATAATTTTTGATGAGTTTGTCCGAACTACTCATAATTACGTGCGCAATGTTACTAGAATTGATTACTTGTGGTTAGCTGAGCTCGCTCCTCAGTACTATACCTTGCAAGAGCAGGAGCAGGAGTAGAATTCATGGCCTTAATTTTAAGGGTAAGACAGACTTCTTATTATCATTTCTTTTTGCCTAGGTTCTAGCTTGGATAACCGTTCAATTTTCAGACTCCCAACTTGTTATATCTGAATGGAACCTGTGCCTCAAATGGAACGTTCAAACAGAAGCTGACTTCAAGTTACCTGTATAGGAATATATATATTTATTTTATCGACTAACGTTTACTCATCCTCTATTCTACTTGAAATTTTCCTATCAAAAAGTTTGATGTACTGTTTATGTCTAGCAGCAAGAAAATGAGGGATTGAGGATAGGTATTTCTTTTGCAGATGATAGGTTGCTGTTTGTTTGGAGGGGACTTGTTGAATTGCATTCTGGTACTGGACTCCGATGGACTGCAATCTTGATACATCCATTGGGCTATTGTTGCAAAGAGAGCCTATGAAAGCTTAACTGAGTTTTAAAATGTGTTCAAGCTTGGTTTTATTTGCCTTACGAGCCGATCTTGAAGAAGTTTTTAATGAGCCAAATATAAGTCAAGTTCGAACAGTTTAGTTTGTTTTGCTTATAGCAAACCCGGTCTTGCAGGTAGTTGGTCACATATTTGATACGCAACGCGTAATACTAGCTTAGGGTTAGGGTTAGTTTTGGTATTGTAATGGGTAGTTTGTTCGATTTTTCGGTGTCCTTATGGGATTGTGATATTTTCCATGTCATATTTGTAATGGAGATGTTTTATTACACCATCTAATGGTGAGTGTAATTATCTTTTTTAATTTAAATTAATTATAAATTTACATTCTTATTTTATAACCATTAGATTTGTAATGAAATTTTTTCATTACATACATGAAATGGAGATGATCAAAGTCTTTCTTTATGTACTCTATTTCTTGTAGATATTGGAGCAAAAATACTGAGGAAGACGACGGTTGGAATTATTTCAAGAACCCAGTCTTCAATTAAATTAACAAAACTCATTTTGATCAACAAAAAATGAGGAGTTATTCGTACATTTTTTTTGGAGAAAAAAGAGTGACATTGTTTCAATTTGTTATTTACACCAAGTGAATTGCTAGCGTTATATAATTAAATAGATTACATATATATAGTTCAAAACTGATAGGCTATACAAGGAAATTATTATATAAACTATTAAGTTTTACAAGTGTTTTTTTTTTTTTTTTTTAATCAAAAAATTTATAAATCTGTCATACAGTAATAATTTTTAAACTCATGTAAGTAAGAAAAAATTGTATAATATCAGTGACTATATATAATAGTCTTGTTTGCTATAAAAAAGATGATAGTTTTTATTATTATAATTTTTTAATTATTATTTAAAAAAATTAAAATAACAGATAAATTTGCTTGGTGCAGTTTTTTATAATCCGTAAAAACAAAATAAAGAAACAAAAATTTGACTTCTGGTTAAATAAGTTATTATATATATTTTTTATTATGTAAATATCCAAATTTTTTTTGAAAGTGGGGTTTGCAGCGGGGTGGGGGGTTTGTAGACTTGTAGTAGATAGATGATAGAGTATTGTTGAAAAAAATTGGGGAGGTGGTGGTGGACTATGTGGTGGTGGAGGGAATAGAGGATGGTTGCCTGAGCTGAAGAACAAAGTAGAAAAGGAAAAAGAAAAAAGAAAAGGTAAGTTTGTAATATGTTAGGGATTGGCAGTGTATTTTTTGTCAAACTAGTGGGGTTATTTGTATTTATACCAATTGTCAAGGGAGGTCAAAGTAATTTATCTTTATTTCTATCACTCCATTTTTTCACTGCTGAATCTGCCATTGTTTTTATGTCAATCCATTTTGGATTGTGTCGAAATCTTTGGCTCAATAATTACAAATGTTGACTCTCAAGCTCAACCCCATCCTCATAAATGTCGTTTGAGAACAGGCTAATTTAGTAACTTTTTGGCTATTTGACTAAAAAAGTAGATAAAAAAAACTTATATGTTTGGGATGACTTTTTGGCTAATTACGAAAAGATGTGCAAAAAGTAGAGAGAAAAGAGAATCTTTGACTTTTTGGTATGAGTTGTTGGCTTTTTGGCTAAAAATGTAACTTTTTGACTTTTTGGCTAGAAAGGTAAGTCCCCAAATGGGGTGCAGGATGGTTATGCATGGATTTTTTAGCTTCTTTAATAAGCTCTTTTTCCCCTCTCTGAAGGCTTTTCATAATTCTTAGGATAAATTACATTGACCTCGGGAGAGGTTTGGAGAGAATATAGTAAGGTTCACAAGTGTGGCATAATTATATTAGACTCTTGTAAATTTTTAATTTACACGATATTTAGACTCATTTTTTCAGCAATTTATTTGTTGTGTACCAAAATGTGTATTTTATCTTATTTATCCTTCTATCTTCATGCCATCTGCATTAATTCTAGTCCCTTTAATTTGTAATTATATCAAAATTGTGAGACTTTTTATATTTTTTTCAAATCTCAGGAAAAGTTAAAGTAATTTACTAGTATTCTTATGTTTGTGAGTCCGAATTCGATGCCTGATTACTCAGGGTTTGTTTCATTGTAGCTGCAGTCAATATACATAGCTCGTAAAGCAGTCTCTATTCCATTCTTGAGGGCTACAGATATATCACCCATAGCGCTGCTATCAGACAATAATGTGCTTAGAGGATGGCAGCGAGATAGTGGTGGAATCATAGCTGTGGAAGCAGTGCACGAGCTTTTTACCGGGGATGGTCGTCATTGTTGGATTCTTCCCATTTTATAAGCACTCGAGTTTTTAAAATAAAAACTAGTATTTAAAATTGGTTTAATTTGTGGTTGTTGCAGGTGAGGTGTTATGAAGAGATGGCACTTCATGAACTGCAAGTAGAGCAAGAGCAACAAACAATTCAAAACCTTTGTGACACTCTTCGATGTATTCTACGTTTATAGTATTACTTACTCATGTTTAAGAAAGCTTATATGTAGAAGTTCTAGTAGCCCATCTTGTTCATGCAGTTTTTTTATGTGTAAAACATGTAAAAATAGGACTGCACAAAACAATATTAATTTGAGAAATAAGTTTTAAACTGAAATATGATTCAAAATTGCTCGAGTTTGATTTTAAAAAAAATTCCAAGTTGCCTTACGGCCACTTTTAACACAAGTGCAATTTTAATTAAAATTGTAATTTTATGTAGCAATTTTTTTTTTCTTTCATAATGTGCCGAATAATTGCAATATATTTATATTTTTTTATTTTTAAAATGGAAATTGCATATAAATGGTAAGAAAAAAATTGCAAAGATTTGGAGAATAAAAAAAATATTACAAAGGACATAGAAGTTTCAAAAAATTTTGGGAGTTTCTATTTAGACAACAAACATATCTCCTCATACTTTTATTTATTTTTTGTCATATTTTTATCCTTATCTAAAAGTACTAGAAGCACTCCAGTTCCAAAATTGAAAATACTATTTTCATTACACATATTCCACAATCTCTTTTGTCTCTCCGCCTGCTACTTTCTCACCATCCCTTTCGAGATTTTCTTTTTCTATTGCATTTATGTCTTTTAAGAAAAATAATTAATTCTTCTTAATCATGCCATTATGAATGGAATTAGAGACTTTAATTAGGAGGATGTAGTATTTTTGGTCTTTTAATTGTCACTTTCTTCTTATAAAAGCCGTCATTTCTTTTGGGCACACAGAGGTGAGGGTGGTGTAGGAAGGGGGGGGGGGACATGGTTGGTGGTGGACTATGGGGTGGTAGATTTCGTAAGGAAAGAGAGAGAGAGATGAAAAAGGAAACATAAACCAATATGTTAATAAATTGAAGGGAATGAGAGATGTGGTTTCTTTACCACATGGGTTCTTGATTCATATATGATAATTTTTGAACAATGAGCTAATTGATTGGTCTTTTCCTCCTCTAGGTAGATTAAAGATGAACACGGATGGTAGCTCGAAAGGAGATCTAGGTGATGGTGGCTTTGGGGGCCTCATCTGTGACGCGAGAGGCATCTGGCTTTGTGGTTATTTCGAAAAGCTCACAAATTGTACTTGCATTGAAGCGGAGATTTGGACTCTATATAGGAGTTTGATGATAACTTTCGAGAAAGGCTATAAGGATTTTAGCATCGAGACAGATTCCCAATATGCTATTGATATACTAAAGGGAAACATTGATGTTTTTTCCCCTCTGAGAAGTTTAGTGGAGGATTCCAAGTTTTTCATTCGAAGATGTGGCTTTTCGATTCAACATGTCAAGAGGAGGGCAATATGAGTGCTAATGGTCTTGCTAAAATGGGGGCAAATCAAAATGAAGTGCTAGTTGTGATGGATGATCCTCCTGAAGAAATTCGAGGTCAATTAGTTGCGGATATGGTTGGTCAGAGTTATCTCAGACATCGTTTTGGGGACTCCTAGCTTTTCTTTTTTTGTTTGTTTGTTTTGTCTGTTTGTTTTGATTTCCATTTCCGATATACCAAAAACAAAAAAAAAATTGATAATTTTTGATAAATTTCAAAAGTGGTTTGTGTAAATTACCTTTAGTATTATTATTATTATTTTTGTGGGGATGTATTTTCTAAAATACCAACACGTGGCATGGTGACGCCGACGTGTCAGCCGAGATACCACGTGTCCTGATAGTTATGCCGAGGTTACCTAGGCAAGGCCAAGGTGATCTCCGAAGATATCGGAATCCGATATAAGCGGATAAGGGACAAGAGTCCTAGATAAAAGAAAAGACTTTTTGCTAAGATAAGGATAAAGCTCTTAGGGAGTTTATCTTTATCTCTTGAGGAATCCAAAGTAAGTACTAAATTGGAGTCCATAGGAGTCAGGCTTCTAGTAGGACTTGGATTAAGTAAACTATAAAAGAGAGGCACCCCCGTGGGTCTAAGGTACACAGTTTTATACTCAAGCTTGTGAGTTTAGCACTTGATTATCTTTGAGAGATATACTGACTTGATCGTCGGAGTGCCCCGGGTGGAAGAGCCACCGCCGAAGCCTTTTCTTTCTGTTGCAGGTTCACTGAAGCCATCTATTCTGCTGGTGCTCTCCAGCTGATTACTAGGCGGACAATGTGGTCAGAAAATTACCCACACAATTTGGCGCCGTCTGTGGGAATCTTAGAAGAATAGATGGCCAGTGACGGACAAAAGGAAAACATTGGGGGCGACACTCCTGTTAGGAGTGGCAGACCAATTGATCTTGACGTTGAAGGAGACAACCACAGTACAGAAAATCATGACCAGGGTCACGGAGAGAAAGACGTCGGCCAGGAGGGCGGTACTTCGAAGCGAACAGACCAAAGCAAGTATTATAACGAAGATAACCTTCAGGTATGGAAGGATAGGTGCCTACGAAGAGATGAGGAAGTAAAAGACTTGGCAAACAAGTTGGAAGACTTACAGTCAGTGGTCAACTTCATGATGCAAAACAATGTTATGCAGCTACCATACCCGCTGCAAGATACGCCGATGCCAGCAATTAACAACCAGAAAGGAGGAAGGAAAGCAATCCCCGAAGCCCCTCAGCACACCAGGAGTGGAAGGCACTCACACTGACCTTCCAGAGAAGTCGGACGAGAGGAGCCGAGGCAAGAAGAATCCCGAAGGACACATCGAATGAAGGATCCAGGGCCCAAAGAACATCGGCATGTTCAAGGACAGGTACTCTGCTTTGACACAACCCATGGAGAAAGATCGAAACGGGCCCACCACGAGGCCGAAAGTAGTGTGCCAAAAAGATTGAAGTCCAGAGATAGCCGAGCTCCAGGTAGGAGTAAGGAAGACTTGAGGGATTACCTCAAAATGAGGTAGCAAAATGTTGAAGCCGAG